CGGCCTCACCTAAGGGGGCTCAGTGAGGCGGGGTCCGTGACAGGGGTTCCGTGTGGGGGTCGGTGTGGGGCTCAGCGCGGGGGGTCCGTGCCGTGTCCGCGCCTCGGGTGGGCTCTGCTCGCCCCCCCCGGGTCCCTGCGCTGGGGGGGTCACCCGGGGACACGGGGGGGTCACCTTGGAGGGGGCGGGGAGCGCTGCCCCCCCCCGCCCTGCCCTGCCATGCCCGGCCCCGCCTGCGGGGGGCGCCGTGCCGGGACCCCGCCCCCAGCCTGGGGGCACCGACCCCGGGACTGCGCGGGGGGACCCCCGAGCAGGGGAGGGGGGGGAGCGGGCAGGGCACACACAGGGGATCACACAGGTGATCGATCTCACAGGTGCTTACAGGAGCTCACAAAGGTGATTGATCACACAGGTGCTCACCTGGGTGCTCTCAGGTGCACACACAGGCGGGGGAGCGGGCAGGGCACACACAAGGGATCACACAGGTGATCGGAGGAGCTCACAGGTGCTTACAGGAGCTCACAAAGGTGATTGATCACACAGGTGCTCACCTGGGTGCTCTCAGGTGCACACACAGGTGATCACAGGTGATCAGAGGAGCTCACCCAGGTGCACACGCAGGTGCATGCAGGGCTCCCAGGTGCACACACAGGTGATCGCTCCCCCAGGTGCTCTCAGGTGTTCACCCAGGTGATCGCTCCCCAGGAGCTCCCAGGTGCGGCTGCCCTGCCGCCCCGTCCCGCGGGGCTCGTTACGGCCGCACGAGCAGCCCCGGGGGGCGCGGGCTGTCCCCAGAGTCACCCGGGGACCCCAAGGGACACCTGAGCAGAGGAGTGTCCCCCCAGAGGGCAGGTACCCCAAAATCCGGGGGTGCACCCCAGAACGGGCAGCACCCAAAACACAGCGGGCACCCAAAGCAACACCTGAACGGGGACAAACACCCTAAACACCTGAACGGGGATAAACAAACACCCTAAAAACCACCAAAACAGGGACAAATACCCTAAACACCTGAACAGGGACAAACACCCTAAAGAGAGGATTGCCCCCCAAGAAAGGAAGCGCACCCGAAAGATGCAGCACTCGAAACACAGGGGCGCGCCCCAAAAAGGGGAGCACCCAAACGCAGGAGGGGCACCCACACCAGAGGAACCCCCCAAAAATGGGGTCCCCCAAATGAAGGGCTTGCCCCACGACACGGGGCGTGCCCAAGCGAGGGGCGCTCAGAGCCACCCCCGGGGGTGCCCCGAGCCCAGGGAGGGGTCTGCCTGTCCCGGGGTGTCCCCGAACCGGGGGTGTCCCCGGAGCTCCGGGGGGCGGGGCCCGGCGGGGCGGGGCTGGGGGCGTGGTCCCGAGGCCCCGCCCCCGGCGGCGCTCAGCGCCATGGGCGAGGGGGAGCCCAGGTACGGGGGGGCACTGGGGGCACTGGGAGGGACTGGGAGGGACCGGGGCACCCCGGGGGCACCCCGGGACCGGGGCGGCAGCCGCGGGGGCACACGGGGGGCAGCGGGGGGCACACGGGAGGGAAGGGCTGCGCCGGGGGCACTGGGAGGGACTGGGGCGTTACTGGGGCGGGAGGGAGCCGCGGCGGGGGGACGCTGGGGTGTTACCTCCAGACCCCCCCAGGAGCCCCCTGACCCCCCCAGCTCACACGTCCCCCCTCCCTTGGTGCCTCCCCCGACCTCGGGTGCCCCCTCCCGTGGGCCTGGGTCAGTTTGGGGGGTCCAGGGGGGTCCTAGCCCTGTGTCCCCCCACAGTGACTTCCTCATCCTCCCCGGCTACATCGACTTCACGGCCGATGAGGTGGTGAGTGACCCCCCAAGATCCCCCTGGGACCCCCCTGGGGCCCCCCTGGGCCCCCCACGATACCCCTGGGACCCCTCTGTGCCCCTCATGATCCCCCTGGGACCCTCCTGGGACCCCTCTGTGCCCCCCAAGATCCCCCTGTGCCCCCCGTGCCCCTCCTGGGCTCCCCTGGGGTTGGGGGATGCCCATGGGGTCCCTGCAGGATTTGGGGTGTGGGGGTTCAAGGGGTGGTCAGGGGGTTCAGGGTCCCCCTGCTGGGAGGGCAGGGGGCTCAGTAGAGTCGGGGGCCCTCATTCCTCAGGGAGGGGCCAGGATTTTAGGGGTGCCCCCCTTCCCCAGGACCTGACATCGGCACTGACCCGAACCATCACCCTGAAAACGCCGCTGGTGTCATCCCCCATGGACACGGTCACCGAGGGGGACATGGCCATCGCCATGGCCGTGAGCAGGGGGACACTGGGGGGACACTGGGGGGACACTGGGGGGACACTGGGGGGACACTGGGGGGACACTGGGGGGACACGGTCACCGAGGGGGACACAGCTGTCACCACGGGTGGGGGCACTGAGACGGCATCCCGGGGTCGTGGGAGCACCCCGGGCTGGGGGAGCTCTGTCAGACTGGGGGGGCACCCGTGGGTGCTTGGGGGGCACCCGGGGGGCACAGCCCCCGAGGGGTGCGAGGGCAAACGGGGGGGACACGGCTGCAGGGGGTGCCCCCCGGCTGGAGCCCGGGAACCCACGGCCCCCCCATGTCCCCTGTGCCCCCCCGTGCCCGCAGCTGAACGGCGGCATCGGCATCATCCACCACAACTGCACCCCCGAGTTCCAGGCCAGCGAGGTGCGCAAGGTCAAGGTGAGCCGGGACGGGGACAGGTGAGCCGGGGACAGGGACAGGTGACACAGGGACTGGGGACAGGTGAGATGGGGACAGGGACAGGTGAGACAGGGACCGCACCTGTCCACATGCCCCCAGTGACGCTGTCCCCTGTCCCCGTGCCCCCGGTGACACTGTTCCCTGTCCCCATGCCCCTGGGTGATGCTGTCCCCTGTCCCCATGCCCCCAGTGACACTGTCCCCTGTCCCTGTGCCCCTGCTGACGCTGTCCCCTGTCCCGTGTGGCAGCGGTTCGAGCAGGGGTTCATCACGGAGCCGCTGGTGATGAGCCCGGCGCACACCGTGGGGGACGTGTGGGACGCCAAGGCCCGGCTCGGCTTCTCGGGGGTCCCCGTCACCCACTCGGGGCGCCTGGGGGGGCGGCTCGAGGGCATCGTCACCTCCCGCGACATCGACTTCCTGCGGGAGGGGGACAGGGCCACCCCCCTGGCCGAGGTGGGTGGGGACAGTGGGGTGGGACAGTGGGGTGGGATGGGATGGGATGGGTTGGAGGATGGTGTAATGTGGGGCAGGATGGGATGTGGGG